GTGGAGATCCCCCTCACCTGGGGTTACTGCTTTCTGCAGCTGTGCAAAATGGAAGTCAGGTCATGGTGCTCTGGACGCAAGGCTGTAGGCAATAAAGCACATCCACATTTGTGTCCTCCTTGCTCTGCACCGGTGGGAACTGTCTGCCCTACGCAAGGAGGATAGAGAGGGTGGAAAGGGAGAGGGCTCAGGGGCACTTGCTTTTGACCTCCTAACGTTTCTGTGCTGGTCCTTCCCCTGCAGAGAACTGTCACACAACCAAATCGAAGATCTGCCCAGTTTCCACCGGTGTCAGCGGCTGGAGGAGCTGTGAGTAAAGAGATACCCTTGGTTGCGCCGTGCTTTGGGGGAAAGGGGCTGATTTGGGGAGACAGGCAGCTCCCAAACACAAAACTCAACCTTCACCAAGCACTGGGAAAGCTGAGCATTATAACTCACTATCTGGACTGCAAATGGACTGCAGCTCCACACTTTGCCCTGTGCAAATTGAGAATAAAAATACATCCCCTGTGCATAGGAGCTTGGTTCACTTGGGTCTCTTCAGAGGTCCCAGCCACAGCAAACAGAAGCAGGATGTGACAGCACTGAATTTGACTTTGGTAACTCAAGTCCTGGTATGAGCTAATCAAGAACGGGGTTTATCTATACCATAAATGTCTTCTGCTTCAAGGAGGGGTCCCATGCCATGGGCACAAAGCAGCCCTTATCCACACTGCTCAGGGCTAGCTATTCTGTAGAGAAGACTGATGCTTTCCTCATGTGTAGCACTTGAATTGGGTCTCCTCTGGGCCCTGGGAGGCACCTCTGTTGCTCCGAAACAGCGTTATTCACGTTCGGTTCAAAGCGTCAGGAGATCTGGCCCTACACTTCAAATCTAACAGAAGTTCTTGGCCTTTTTGAGAAAAAAAAAAAAATAATAGGCTCTGTGATTTTTTTTATAGAATTCTGCAACCTGGAAGAATAGGGGTGTGGGAGCAGAAACCCCACAAAAATACACTGGAGAGGTTGTCCGTGCTCTCTGCAGCACCCCATCCTGGATGGCCAGACCAGCTCACCCAACCTTAGCAAAACCGGGCATTAGGACACCATGTGAAATCAAATGAAAACAAGAGTTACATAGCCCTTGCTGCCTCTTCGAGAGCTCCGAGGACAGAGTTAGAGCTGGGAATATTTTTATCTAAAGTATCCTCAGGAAATTGTTTGGAAAAATAGAAGAGCCATTAAAAGGACAAACTTTCAGAATGCCAAACTTGCAGTTTCACGCATTGTGCCTAAACGTTGTCGCACAATAATTTATAATACACAAAATTCAGACTCGTCATTAATATAAAAGCACAGTAAATCCCTCTTTCAGGCTACTTAAGTCAGACAGACTGTGTCTTAAATTTTCTTACAAAATGACTATTTGGCCCCTTAAGTCCAAAGCTATCATCCTGTAAGCCCGCCCCCCCCCAAAGCATCAACGTTCCTGCTGGGAAATACATTGGAAACAAGTCTGGTGGTGGTACAGCCTGGCATACAAACAACTTACGTGTGCCAGTTGCTCTGCTGTAACTGCTAATGTGCAGGTTTTTACCTGCAACACACAGGTCTTCCCTCACAGCTAAACATCCTAAATTATTTTTCTCTAGCTTGCTCCAATACTCCTTCTTCCCAAGCTCAACCTCTCCAACCAGTGAGACCCCCAGAACTGTGCACAGAGCTTCCCATGGCCCTCACTTGAAATCTTAGCTAGAATCAGGAGCCATCCCTTCTTGGCTACATGGGGCATTGAGAAACCAGCAGTAGAGCAGATATGAGAGCCTCAAGCCCCTGTCTCTGAAACACGAACATGTGTCCAAATACCATCTGAGACATTACAGCCATCACGTGCAGGTCCTTGTGTGAGATGAGTCAAGATAATTTCTGAGTCTGAACGCAGGTTAGCTACCCAACAAATGCCCTGGGGAGTTGTTGTATGTAGAGCACTGGGCAGTGGCTGTCTCCCCTTGCAGAAGTTCACACATGGGGACATCACTTCTGCAGATCTGGGAATTCATGATGGGCATTTTGCAGGAGTTTTTAAAAATATTCACCATTGTTCCACACTAGGGAAAAGAAAACTGAAAAACTGGATGTTTCCCAGAAAGTGGATGGTTGGATCAGTTATGGATGTCTCTCAAGAGGCATGGGGAGCGTATAGGTCAGTCAGCAAACGCCATGTCAGCACTTACCCTGCTCCCTCCCCCTCCCTGGGGAGTGCAGGCGGCTGCTGGAAGGGAGGTGTGCAGGGGCTGAGGCACTTCATGAAAATATATGTGGAGGATATATATTGCAGGACGGTGGGTTCTGCAAACCTCAGGATTGTTCTTCCTGAAAAGCTGTGTTGCCTTCAGCCCTCAGTCCCCCTTCATCATCACCAAGGCAAAGGGCAGCACCATGTAGTCCTTTCTGAAGGGTCATGCAGAGCTGTGTTTGCTGACTCACGGGCTCCAAGCTCTTCTATTTCGCTCTGGACAAAGCCTTTGTGGAGTTAGGGTGGAGCAGAGTGAGAAATCTTTGGAGATAATGGGCACCTTTAAGCATTGCACATCAATGGCACTTTGCTGTGTCATGATGGCATCAAAAGGAGAGGGTGGCTGAGCCCCGGAGCTGCCCACAGGAGAGAATGGCTTTGAGCTGTTTTGTTGCTCATCCTGTTTACCCCTTGAAAGAAGAGTAGGTCTCCCAAGCTCAAATGACAACTTCCACTGTGACAGTTTGCATCTGCTACCATAGGACAAAGATCCCTACAAAGTATGGATGCTGCCTTCAGCCATTTTCTCAAACCAGTTTCTGTTTTTTCAGTGGCCTCCAGCACAACAGGATCCATGAAATCAGAGCAGACACCTTTGTGCAGCTGATGGCCCTGCGCTCCATGTAAGTATTGTCTGGCAGGGGGAATGACTGGGATTTTTGCTGGGGCAAGGGGAATTGTGAGCCACCAGCCAGGCTGATGTGTTGTTTCCCAACCCCACTCCCTCCGTCTCTGCTGGGAAGCTTTGCTGTCCAGTCCTTCTTCCACTTCCCCTTAGAGAAGAACAGGGCACAAACCTTCTCCTTGGCTTCCCTCCTGCATGCAGACACACCCTGTAAATAAACTCATTACCTGCCAGGCATGCAGACACTCCAAAACACATGCCCTAACCACATGCTGCAACTCGTATGTTGCACAGCACACGTTACAGACAGCTGCCTCCTAAATGCCCATGCAGACATGGACTCATGGCAGGGACTTACCAGGGCGAGCATGAGCTGTAGCATCCCTTTCCTTACACATGCTAGTCCTGGGCCATGCACTGCTGGAACATCTGTGCAGAACATCCCATTTGATTTGGAACTGTCTCACCGTAACTCAAAAGCATGTCAGACATATTAAGTGCACACAAGCATGCACGCATCATACATGCATAGTGACCTTGCAGTAGACAGCCCACTTAAGCGCTCGGCACCTTTGAGAAGTTAGTAAGGCTCCGCAGGGCATGATTCTCCCTGTGACATGTGGGAAGAGCCTTCCAAGTGCTGATGGTCTTTATTTACTGTTCTGTTAGGAAGCTAACTGAATCACATCAAAGCTTTTTCCACGGTGCAGCAATTTGAGTGTCTTTTAATGGGCCAACATTCCTAGAGATCCCATGAGTGTCATGTACAACATGCTTATAACTGCATAGGAACACTCATGTATTACATGTAACAGTACAGACAAGCATGCAAGTACAAGCATGCTGCTGCCACACTATAGTCACACAAACGTACAGCTGAGCATGTAAGCTCTAGCATTTGCCTGTGGGTATGTTCTGAGTCCTTGTGGGAAGGATTAAACTCACCCAACTTTAGCCTTCTGCAATGAGACACACAGATCTGGGCAGGCACCCCTGGCTCCCTTCAGAGCTGGAGAGATGTAGATATATGTAGGATATTGCTCGTATAATCAGCCTTAGGAGAAGAAATGCTTCTTGATATGCAGGTTCCTCTCTGTTGATGACAGAGGGAGATGAGGCCTCTAGCTCAGATGGAAGCAGAGCTCATTGAGGAGCCTCAGGGACTTCTCCCCAAAACCAAGCCAACTGTACCTGACACGAGACACTCTAAGATTACCTTGGTTCACCTTCCGCACAGCTCCTGACCCTATTTGCCCTTGCCTGGGCAGCCAGCAGTGTGACGACATCAGGGATGCTCTGACACGAAGGCATAACCTGTCTAATGCTCTGAGGTTGAGCACGTTAGCATTAAAGCTCCAGATTTACAGAAATGAACCCACTAAGGAAATTTTCCCATTGGAAACTCCTCAGTAGAGGAGTTCCTGCGAGACACACTCTTGTGCTCTCTGTTAGAAACCAAACATATTTGCCTCCAGGGAGCTGCAATGAGACAGAACTTGCTGCTGACCGAGGGGCTACTGATCCTACATTTACTTGCATCACACCCCTTGACCAGGCCGCTGTCAGCAGCTTCACTGTCCTGCTCTGTACTCCTCTTACTGGCATGTCCTTGCCTTGCAGAGACCTGAGCTGGAATTACATCCAGTTTATTCACCCTGAAGCCTTTGTGACCCTGCGCTCACTCACCAAGCTGTAAGTTGCAATGATATTTCTTTCACAGTGGGCCATGGACAGAAGGTACCTGAGGACCTCAGACTGACTCCCCAAGCTACCAGGACACCTGGCATTTAGATATCATGTGCTGAGGCTCATGTCTCAGCACTGATGTAGGCAGACTAAATCCCAAGGTTTCCTATCAATATTAGAGGAATGATGAAATTGCAGAAGGGGCCATCTTCAAGATACTTTCACCCTGACCACTTAAACCTCCACTTTCTGATTCTTTCATACCTGCCTTAGATGCCTTTATGAAAGATTAGCATAAAGTAAGAGTCATTGCAGACCATCTTTGCTGGCTCTGGAGGGGTCCTCAGTCCTCAGCCCCCTAACTATGAGGTTTGCGTATTTTATGGGCTGGGAGCTGCAGTCATACCTGACCTGTTATGGGGGAAGTGGTGGGGGAAGAGATATGTGGGGCAGATATGTGCAGAGAGAGGTAGATACCAGACAGAGCTTTCAGCATGGGCATTAATCCCTACCCCTCATTTTCCCCAGGGATTGCAGTATCAATCTGTTTATCTCCAGAGGATCCTGGTCGCCATGCAGCACCCAGCCCCATTTCAACATCACATTTGAGGGGGCAACCAAGGCAGGCAGCATGGCTCTCCAAGTCTCTGCTTGGCTGAGATATCCCTAGTGGCAAAACCCTCATGGTGATCTCCTTCTCTGCTTTCCCTTCATCAGGGACTTGACTGATAACCAGCTGGTTACGCTGCCTCTGGATGGTTTGGGTGGACTGACCCATCTGAAGCTCCAAGGCAACCCAGCTCTCTCTGAGCCCTTCACCAAGGAGAGCTTCCCAAAAATGAGGTACTGGTGGTGTTGGCTCTTTCACTTCTGGCTCTCAGCACAGCCTGTATTTGCTTATAGCAATCAGCCTCCTGCTTTCCTTGTTTACCTCATGCTTTTCCTCCATCCTTTCAGGCCAATAGGTTGAGGAAGCTTCATCTGCTGCTAACACGCCTCATCTCTTAAAGTCTTCCATGGGAGAGTGGCGACGCATGCCCAGGCCCGCCACCCCCACCCCAAACACACACACAAGTGGAAAGCATGGAGTGGGCCCAGCTCAGGGCTCCTCTCAGTGGAAAACATTCCCAGAAGCCAGTCCTAGCTAATGACATCCAGCTTTCCTTCAGTAAACTCTGTTTGTGTGGCCGTGTCTTGTCTGCTATGGATTAATGAGGAGCCTGAAGGGGTCAAACTGAGCAAGATGATGCTGAAAAAGGCTCAGAGCACAGTGTTGCACTGCAGGCTCTGGCTCTCCTGATCCACTCCTCAGTGGTGCCCTCAGGCTGAGGGGCCCATGGTCCAGATCATTCAAATTCCTCTGAGGTGAAGCCATCTTTTGCTTGGGTCTCCCAGGCAGTTCCCTTGGACCCAAGGATGCATGACCGTGCGCTCATCCAGTATGGGTTCCCAAGGCTGAAACTTCTCAAATTTAGATACCCACTGCTGAGGTCACGGGCCACTGCACCAATGCTGGGCTGAACAGCTCAGATTCAATGAAAAGTGTGGAGCTCTCACTTCGGTCTGCCTCAGCAGTGGTGCCTGCAGGCACTTCTGACTTTTTGACTCATCATTCCAAATGGCAGGGAATCACAGAAGCTTCTGGAGGGTTTTTCACACCCAAGATGGCAGTCCATGTGCAGAGAGGGTCAAGTTCAGCACTTCCAGGGGCATTCCTCTAAACTAATTCCATTGACATCTGTGGAGCTTGTCTGGATTCGTACCAGAGAGACTGGGTCTGCAGGAGTGATTCATTGAACTATGCCAGGTGATAGATCCATTAACATTTCCTAAATTTTGGGGTACTGCCATTAAGTAGTCTTATTCTTGGGGCATATGTCTGGAGGAATCATCTGAGAACAGTTCTTAGCCGTCCTGGGAGGATCTGTAACTCCCTACCACCTTTCAATAATAGGATTTAATTTGGAGCTTATAACAGGATGCAAGCTTGTATACGAAGTTTCCATAGCCTCCCAGGGCTCAGCCAGAAATGTTTGGGAACTTAAAACAAAAGCATATTTTTAAAATATAGAGTTTCACCATATTTACTGATCTTGTCAGAAGACCTTAATTGTCTGGAAAACCTGAGGCTCCTTTGCCTTCATCAGCAGTCTTCCTGACTTCCAGCAAAGAAGCAGGAGTTTGCTGTCTTTGAAGAAAATGTAGCTGCTGACAGATAGGCTAGCATTCCACCCAGATGATGTTCAGCTGCTGTTTAATTAACCTTGTAATACATGCTATAATTAACTATTAACAATTCTACTTTCAAGTAGAAATCAGACATATTAAAATAACTTGCTACACTTGAGAGACCTGAGATTTCCCTGCCCAAGCTGGTAGGGATGAGCCATGCTTATGGAACTGGAGTTTGGAGGTGCCTCTCTGACCTTCAGCAACAAGCAAGGGGACCTTGCACTTGCTCAAGCTCTCATGAAGCTTCTCACCTTGAACAAAAGAAAGAATGCGTCCACATGCACATGGCATATTGCCAGAGGGCATGGGAGAGGCTAATTCAGTCTAAGGAGAACTGCAGAAAGGTTGGTAGGAATTATCCAGGAATTTCAGTGCAGTTTCCAAACCTGCTGTTTGACAATAACCTATTGACAGCCAAACAGTGCCTTAAGCACCAAAAGTGGGGCAGTGCAGAGACACCATGGGCTGACTTGGGTCCACGCTCTGTCCTACATGGAGTCTTTTTCACCAAAGTCCTGCTCCAGTGTAACCATCAGCTGATCGACCAGCTTTTGGCACGTGGAACTTAAGCAAAAAATGCAAAGCAATGGAGAGTCAGGTCATGGAGGCGACACACGTAAAGTTCTGCTTTCTTCCTTTGCAGAGTCCTCGAGGTACCTTATGCCTACCAGTGCTGTGCTTATGGAAGCTGCAGCAGCTTCTTCAAGATGTCCAACCAGTGGGAGGCAGAAGACATGAGTCCTGAGGAGGAAGATCCCCACAAGAGGACCATGGAATTGTTTCCAGGTCATGCTGATAATCACTGTAAGTAAAACTGGGCTGAATGGTGAAATCAGTCCATGGGCAGGTCCATACTGTGAGCTTGGATGTGATCCTGCATTTGCAGGAGTAGTCCCACTGCCAACCATGGGGTTACACCTGCCTCAGAGAAAGCTGACCGATCCTTCTCCAGCTCTGGTGGCCATTTACTGTGAACAGCCATCAACCACTGTCACTGCATTGGAGAAAGAGCTGGTCTGGCACATCCAAACCTTCACAGTCTAAAAGAAAGATCTATCAGTCCTCAACAGCATGGACACGTGTGCTAATTTGGCCTTGCTGACTACAGAAGGAGGCTACCCAAGCCACCTGAGCAAAGTGGCTGAGGTTATATGGGACAGCTTCTGGGCTTGGTCATTTCGGGCAGTACGGAGCCTCTGGCAGGACATCAGTCTTTGTTGCTACAACGTACAGAGGATAGACCCTAGGTTTAATCTGAATAAGAGAATGAACTCGAAGGACTGGAATGCACAGCTGGCTGGAGGAAAAGAGACCCATGTCCATGCTCCTTCTGTGCACATACCCTGATGATACAGCAAAGGTCAGGTTAGGTATGAACAAAAGGAAAGGTTTGGGGAATATGATGAGCTCAGCACGGGGACTAGCCTATGCAGGGCAGAAGTGGCTCCACAGTTAATGACTAGCAGCGCCTTCTCTTCAAAAGTCAGTTTGTTCTGTGCTCCCAAATGCACTTCTGCATAAACCTCCATGAAATCTGTGGCACAAGGCCAGCAGAGGAGTGTGCAAAGCACACCTCCTGCACCCACAGGCTTGCAGCGCAACAGCAGCTCCAGGCAGAAAGCTGATTCCCTTTGCAAGAGAATCTCAGAATAATGTAAAGAAAAACATGAGCTCCTTTGCTTCCTCTACAGCTGCTGGAGAGTGGAAATAGCATTTCAGGACACAGCTTGGATGCTACATTTGTTTATATTTTTGTGTAAACAGAGAGGCCACATGCACTTCTGAAATCTGAAACACCCTGTAGGCAAAACCACATCATGCTGTATGCCCGCGGAAGATGGGGAGAGGGCTGAGTCCCTGAGGAGTACTTAGCTCACCTGCTCCCAGGAGCACCATGCACACAGATATAACCAGGGTGCCCTGCAGAATCCCCTCCTGCATCCTAAGCAGCCCAGACTAGATCTGGAAATAGATACTGACCCAGCGCAGTTGGGTTCTCTGTGTTGCAGCAGTGATGGGAGGCAGGATGACCCAGACAATTTATGTCACAGCCAGCGAGTGAATCATGAGCCCTGCATCCCTGCTCCTGCCATCTGCCCTGCCCCGTTCTTTCACAGACTAAAATTAAGCTTTGGCAACATAAAAAGTCCAGCCAGAGGCTATCAAGTGTGATTCCTACCAGAATGATGTGGCTTGTGGAAGCATAGTAGACTTGGTGGTTACACTGGGCAGAGAGTACAGAGGAGCCATATGTTACGGTCATTGCTGCAGGAATTTCTTCTCAGCTGCATCAGTTTTTCCATCATTAATGCAGCCCATACTTTAACAGTCCTTGTGTGTATAGTTGGGGTGTTTGCCCAGCAAATCACAGCATCTGTGAAAAGACCTGGTTTGCAACCAGGGGCCATAGTACTGCTTACATACCTGCTCTTGCTGAGCACTTGATGTCTCAAAGGATACTTTCTCCTGGCCCTGTCAGCAGACCAATACCTGCCACAGGTTCCCAGGCCTCCAAGCCAGTTTCAGTCTCATGGATTATATCCGTATTCATAAGATATTAGGACCAGAGGGGAATGCTGAGTGATTCTAAGATGTGCCAGATGAGACTATTAGCAGCTCATAAAGGCCCACATTTTCACATGTTAAAGCACTGGGTTTGTCTGAAATATCAAACCACAGAAGTGCAAACGTGAAATGCACAACAATGTCCTTTCTCACTATGCCCAGCTTTCAAAGATGACTGTCTCCTTACCAAACAGCAACGCATGGTCTACTCTTGACAATGAGGGTTTTGTGATACTGCTATTTTACTTAATTAATTGCTGCTTTATTTCTGTTCCCAATGCTTCCTTTCTGATTGCCATCAGTGGTATTTAGCTGTGTTATATGAGTCTTGTAACACTTCCTCACTGAAGAGGAAAAAAGCTCCCAAACATTCCTTCCATGCAAGAGATAAAGTGGTCTCGTTAAGAGCAAATAACTCGGGACTCTGTCCTGCAGTGTACAGCTAGGCTCGTCAGGGCACTTGGATGCTGTGGCAGAACTTGTGAGAGGGATGGGGCACACTTCCAGATAGCCATGTCCTCAGCCTTGCGCAGTGCTTCCAGCAAGGGACTGAGGAGCCCTTTACAAACAAGTCCGTGGAACTTCACAGCTGGGTGGTGAAAGGCGACTTGTCCCAGGCAGATGTGTAGGGGCGAGAAATGGGTCCCCGGTGGCACAGCCCTGCTCCAGCAGCCAGGCAGTGCTGCCTCCCGCAGCGCGTCCCACTCCCACATCCAGCACTCTTCCCTCAGCTGAGCCCAGCGCCTAAGGGACTGTCTGACACCAGCCACAGAGTGCACGTGGTGCCATGGACCCTGGGGCCAGCTCAGCTACTTCCCATCCTCCCAGGGCCCCAGATGCCCAGGAAGCCCCCAGACACCACCCAAGTGTGTCCATTAACATCTGAGTAAAGGCCACCTGAGGCCAAATGGAGTGTGATTAGGACATGTCTGTCTCATCACTGTGTCACCTTGTCACAACAGATATAAGGTCCCATTTCCAAAATTTTTGGTGCTTGGGATATGCTTCTTTGGATTATACGTTTATAATATATAATATAATATAACATAATAAACGCTGCCTCTTGGCAGTGTTTAGCAGATACTCCCTGCCCCAAGCCTGTCCCGTGTGGCCGGGCAGCAGCCCAAAGATGGCTCAGCAGCTTGTCACACAGGACATCTGCCCCTCACTCCCCAGCAGCTCACTCCTGCCACACTCCCGAAACCGGCTGCAGAGGGAGGACAGGCAAAGTGCAAGTACTACCAGTGCCATGGGGCATTTCCACCACAGTCCCAGAACCCCCCTTGGGGACCACTGGTTTAAGGATAGAAAGGGATGTATTTACTTACAAGCATATGTTTGCAATAATGGAACAAAGCTATAGAAAGCAAGAACACGCTTGTATGGTTGTCCCTGACAAAAGGACGCTGCTTTACCCAGTCCAGCACCTCCATTAGCTTGTAAAGCTGACTAACTTTTGCAACCATCCAGCAAGCCCTGAAGGGTTCTTAGAACAACACTCTTCCTACTTCTGTCATTCAAGAAGGCTATTCAAGTCCCCCAAAAATCACCTGCCCAGGTCCCTTGCAGCCACTGATGCCTTAACTCTGAGGAAGAGAGCAATTATCTGCAAAACCTCACGTGGGGACTGCCCTGGCTAAGGCAGAAAATACAAAAAGGGAAAAATCATCCAACCCAATGTCTTTTGCTCCACTTCTTCTCCAGCAATTGTCCTCCTCTTTGTCCCGCTTCGGTGTTTGTACAGCCAGCATTTTCCATGGAGAGGGCACTACTAGCAAAGTGGGTTTTTTCCATGAGGCCTGAGAAAGTGGAAGTGCCTTAGCAAAATCCAAATAAATACTTCAAAAACAATGCAGTCTGCCGTCCTAGAACACAACAGCCATTTTCTTTTCTCTGCAGTTCCCAGGCGGGGAGAAGTAGTGATTTCCAGCAGAGAGGTACATTTTCTGCTTTGAATCTCACTGTCCTGGCCAAGGATTGCTTTGCAATTCACAGCTAGCTCAGTAGTCCATGCAAAACACAAGATCGCTCCTTCGCTTCACGCAAATGTTTAACCTATCCTTAAAACCAGCCTTTGTGCATTCTGGCCCTTTGACAAGGAAAGGGATGGGGCAGATTACACTTTAACGTTTCCATGAGTTAGGTGGCAGGGGGACACAGAAAGTGCAAGTCTGCGCATTGATTTGAGTATCGTGACTGCACATCACAGCCTCCACACTGTGGATGGAAAAGACACTCGAGATTTATAAGACTATAAAATACAAGGAGGAAATATTTTTCCATCCCGTTGTGAGTGTTTTCCTGCCAGACTCCAAAGCAGCAGTAATATTTCAACTCTTACACAGACAGATTTTTAAAATGGCATTTTTTTCCAAAGCTCACTGAAGCCGAGAAAGCCACAATGCTTGTCAGGAGGCACTAAAGATAGCACGTTATTTGTCATCATTCTTTAATCAAATAATCTCAGTCGTATTTTCAAACACAGGCAGGGAGCAGACCTCATGAGAGGCACCATTTCTAAGCAGATTAGGCAACTAAATCCCACTTAGGTTAGCCATATCTTCAGGACTGTGGAAACTTGCCTTTCTGGCCAGTGTCTGAGCTGCCAGCTGGACAACTGGGCACCAGCATCCATCCATATCATGCAAGGGAGAATTCATCCTACAGCCACAGATCCAGCTCCCTGGCTATCAGGCTGCAGCAAGCACAAAACACATCCTTTCCCTTCCCTCCCGCCTGCAGAAAACCCTCTGGAGATCTCCACTGGAAGCAGAAGGCTATGTTGGTGCCATGGGTGGGGATGGTGCAGCAGGACAGCAGCTGTCCTTTTGGTGTCCCAGCGCTGTGAATCAGCAGTAGTTTGAGAAAAGGAACAAGGAACAAAGCAGAAGAGCATGTCTTTGGGTTAGATTAAGAGGCTGCCATTATCATGGGTGATGACCTACACCTACAGGCCATCACACAGCTGAGATCTCAGCCCCTTTCTCTTCCAGCAGCTTCTCCTTCACTCAGGGAGTCTCTGCCTGGCCCTCAGAGAGCCCAAGCCTGGCTCAGGGTGAGCTGCCAGAGTGATGGAGATGCTGGCCCAGCAGGCTGGGCTCTGAGGGCAGTGCAGCCTGGTGGTATAAACCCCATGGATCCAAAGTCTGCAGGCATGGGCAATCAGTCTGCCTGTAAGCAAATCCAGGACTGGGAACCTCCAGGGTTAAAAACAAGGCATCACAGTCCCAAGAAATCATAGGACATAAAATAAAGCAATAAATGTTGGGTTCTCTTGTCTTTTTGCTTCTGAGCCATTTGGTGGTGGTGATGGTTGCTGATGAAGAATTTGTGCTGCAAGTAGAGGCTAACAGCTCTCTTTGAACAAACCTCCAAAGTCCTTGTTGATGAAGTAACATTGGACAAGGCCTGCCCAGAAAGCTTCCATTTAGAAGATGCATTTGAAGGCTTTGTTTTCTGTAACCACATAGGCTAGAGTATTTCTTTATTTTCAATAAAGCATGCTGGGAGGAGGGATCTGCAGTAACACAACTCTGGGATCTGGGGCTTTACACTGCAAATGTTGGCAGTAACCTAAAAACAGAGGGGTTGTCCACATTGCAACACACCAACGTTTACAAGACCTTCTTCCTCTACAGCAGTGACTGCAGGAGAGAAACTGGACACCAGCAGCTACTTTGAACTTGTGGGCTGGGAACAGGCTGGGAAGGTCTGTGTTGAGGACAGGCAGTGGGAAAAGCTTCTGGCCCAAGCTAGCCCCGATGGCCCTGCTCATTCTTCTCTGAGCATCGTTTCTTGTTGTTTTCTCCCCAGATGACCTAGATGCAGATGACCTCCAGCTGGACCTTGAGGAATCAAAGCTGCACCCCACTATTCAGTGCACACCAAGCCCCGGTAAGCAGCCAGGGAAACCCTTTGAACACAGCTGTGATCCTTTGAGCTTCTCTAAATCCCCAGGATCCCACGAACCTTCCTGCAGTGTCTCACAGATGTGCAGATCAGAAGCCTGAATGGCTGGGCTTTGTCCAAACTGGGGACAAGTGAGGAGCTTCCTTTTCCCGCTTGGATGTTTCTGCCCTCCTATGAAGAGAGTACAAGGTCATGGTATAGCTGACCAGGAGTCCAAGGTATCACCAGGTCCTCCATTCACCAATGTGCCTCAGTCAGACTCTGGCTCTCAAGAAGATCCTTTTCCCTTGCAAGATTTAGATTTTGCTTTGTCCAAGCCAGCCCAGAATATTGCATGACAAGCCCTTGTCCTTGACCTCCTGATCATACTTGCAGCACTGCAAGCTGCAGGGATACTTTACTCTGTTTCCTGAGAAAAGGAGAGAAGGGAGGTGCTGGACTGCACCCAGCCACTTTCTCCTTACTTCCATCAAAAACATGCCAGTGGGCACAGGCTGGCTGGGACACGAGGAAGCTGCCTTCTGATTTTGTTCCTGTTCACAGCTCAATGGTGTCCTACACAAGCACAGCTGGAGGCTGGAGAAGCCTGGCTCCATTCAGGCAACTGTGGGACACTGTCAGGGGTGGAGTTTTTCCCACTTTTCCCACTGAGTTTGCTGCAAAAGAGACAAGAAGGAACAAGATTTTAGCAGAGGGGTACAGAGGTGCTGGGTCTCTGAGGAAAGCCTCCACCTCCTTTGAGCTGAACAAGATTTCTCAGTTTCCTCTAATTTCTTTTGCTCTCTACCACCTAAAACTTGGCCCGTCCTTTCTCTGTTTTTGCTGAATTCCTACCCTGAGCCCCTCACTGTAACATTTGAATCCTTCCCAGAGGCAACTCTCTCACATTGCACTCTCTCTCCCCACTCTCTTCTTTTTACTTTGGCAAACAGCATCCACCACCGGTCCCCTTTTTACCCCTCCATAACTCTCTCTTCTCACTCCCCCTTCTCCCCATGTCCATCCTCCACCATTCTTTCTCCTGACATCCCCTCACGTTCTTGTTGCCCAGGGCCCTCTGTCCCTTCCCTGCCATCCCAGCTCCCTCCCTCTCTTCCTCCCCACCTACTGTCTCTCCCTCCTGCTCTAACACTTCATCTCATCTTGGCCATCCCCTCCATGCACAAGTCATTCATGCAAAAACAGTAAAACACCGCTTAGCCAAGGTCTTGAGTGTTAAGAGCAGAGGTTGGCAATGTCAGAGCTGGATGCAGGATCCTGCCATCTCTTGCACGTCTCCACACTAGTAACTCCAAGAATCCATAGGGTATGTGAGAAGGAGCAGCTAATGGCAGAGTGGCCCAAATGCCAGGCCACAACCTTTTTACATTTTAGGAACTCTGATAAGTTTGCTATTTATTTCCCATATTTCGCATATGACCTCTCCCTGCACCTCGTTTCTGCCCTGGACAGGATCTGAGAGAAAGTCCCAGTCAGCATGCCAGAGGCACCCCAATGTGGGGACAGGAGCACGGGGGAGCTGGGACAGAGTCTAGAGGCAGCACTGCTGGTATCCTGCTGCAGAAAAGGGCAGACAATGTTGTACACTCCTTTCCAGCCCTCAGCATTCAATAGGCAAGGGGCTGGCGGGGTCAGGAGAGGCCTGGGACCTGGCCACTTCTCCCAAGCAGCACCATTAGAGCTGAGTGGTATATTCTGGGTTTAACTTTGGGTTTTGTTTTCTTCCAGGTCCCTTCAAGCCTTGCGATCACTTGTTTGAGAGCTGGGTCATCCGCCTGGGAGTCTGGGTCATCGTTCTGGTCTCAGTGCTCTGCAATGGGCTGGTCATTCTGGCTGTCTTTGCCTCTCCCAGCTACCTCTCTCCAGTTAAGTTCATCATTGCTTCCATAGCTGGAGCCAACATGCTGACCGGCATTTACTGTAGTATGCTGGCTCTCGTCGACGCTCTGACCTACGGCCAGTTTGCCAAATACGGTGCCAGATGGGAGACCGGCGCAGGCTGCAGGGTGACGGGGTTCCTGTCAGTGTTTGCCTCTGAAGCTGCCATCTTTCTGCTGACGTTGGCTGCCATGCAGTGCAGCATTTCAGTCTCCTGTGTGCGGGGCTATGGCAAGTCACCCTCCTTAGGCAAGGTCAAGACTGCTGCCTTTTGCTGCCTGTTGCTGTCCTCTGTGGCTGCTGTTTTGCCTCTCTTCTCCATTGGAGAATATGGAGCATCCCCTCTCTGCCTCCCATATCCCATCCCGGATGGGAAGCCCGCCACCCTGGGCTTCACTGTGGCCTTGGTGATGACAAACATGCTCTGCTTCCTGACTATCACGGGCACCTACATCCGACTCTACTGCAACCTGCTGAAGGGGGAGTTCAGTGCTGTCTGGGACTGTGCCATGGTCAAGCATGTGGCCTGGCTGATCTTCACCAACTGCCTCCTCTACTGCCCAGTGGCCTTCCTCACCTTCTCCTCCATACTCAACCTCTTCCTCATCACCCCAGAGGTCATCAAATCCGTCCTCCTTGTGGTCTTGCCCCTGCCCGCCTGCCTGAACCCTTTGCTCTACCTGCTCTTCAACCCCCACTTCAGAGATGACCTCCGCCTGCTGAGGCAGAAGGGCCAGGACAAGAGCAGCTACCCCCAGTCCTGTGGGGTCGATGACATGGAGAAAAGCTCCTATGACTCCACTCAGGCTCTGGTGAGCTTCTCTGACATCGACCACATATTTGAGACACCTGATTCCCTGGGAGTGCACCCCATCCTCGACAGCTACAGCTTCCCCTCCATGACAATTGTTCCCTGCCAGCAAAGGGTGGGCACCAGGGGGAAGGAGAGGGGCTTCTCTGAGCATTGTCCTTGCCTCAATGACAGTGAGGTGCTGATCACTTCAGAGAGTCGAGATGTCACCAGCAGCAGCCTCCGGATAGCCTTCTTCCCCTCCCCGCCCACGCCACCCTACACATCTCACTTATAAACCTCCTCTGAGTAGCCGTGCCAAACAGCCCTACACCACACACTGTGGGTCAGCCCCAGTGCCAGGTGGCCAGCAAGGTGACAGCAGGCTGCTCCGTGTAAAGCATCAGTACAACCCATCTACCCTCATCCCCCATCATATCTGCCTGGGCAACCGGCACCACTCTGCCAAGATGCCACTTGCCTGGAAGGGCTCTGACTGAGCTCCAGATACTCAGGGCTGGCCATGGGAGGAGATAAACCGCCTACACGAGTGTTTCCCCTGCTAGGGACTGCCTGGGAGGGAGCCCCACCAGCTCAGGAGATGGGTCAGGGAGACCCTCCTCCTTGTCATCCTACAGCATCGCAAGCCAGGAGGAGCCTGCAGCAAAGCCAAGCATGTCTTCTCAAGGCAGAGACGCCTTAGGAAGAAAAAGCCATTGCTCCATGGCAGAAACACATGGAAATGTCCAACTGCAATGATGTGGCCACCCATAGGGACCTCACGCCTTGTCCTCCAGGGTCCTCCACAGGTCCCACACACCCCCAGAAACAGGCTTGTATCTGCCCCACACCATCGACTGGAAGAGCAGAGAAACTGGGTTAAAAGCAGTGTACCCATGTGTGCACTTGAGGTTTGGACCACCTCCATTTTGGGAGACTCCGCTTCATTCCCTGGGATTCTCATGAGTTGGGCAGGACGCCCACTTTCAGATGTTACCAGGAGCTGGGGATGCTCAGCCCCTCTTTCAATCTGTCCCACAGTGTCTAACAAGGGGTCTCTGAACCCTAAGGTAGCCAAATCCGAACACCTCCCCGCAGGAATGTACATGCTTTGCCTGAGGTCACTCAGCAGCACCTGGCCAGGGTGCCCAACGGCACACCAGGCTCCCTCCACCTCCATCACCCCCTCTACCTTTGCACGCTGCAGCACACCCTGGGCATGCCTGCCTGGCTCCTGGCCAGGCGCACTGGAAATGGGATCTGGCTCCCTCACTGCTCCCAAACCTCACACCTGGAAGAGGCTGTCAGTTCTTGGGTTCATGTCCTCCATGCAGAATAGCCATTTTGGGGGCTCCATTTGCCCTCCCCTATTTTAAGGGAAGCTCGTGTTGAAAGAAGGAATCAGCCTTGTGGGATGATGGCATCAGGAGGACACAGGCCATTGGGAACAGTCTCAAATTCAGTCCCTGCAGTTCAGGGATCTCCCAAATCCACCTTCTCCAATCACAAACCCTCCCATTGCTGCCCAACACAGCAGGGAGCCCATGGTCAGAGCTCAGGCCCTGGGCAAAGCTTTGGTTCTGCTGACATTACTGCAGCTGTAATAAGTTGTTCGTTCTTGTGAGATAATAAATGAGTCCTGTTGCTGACCAGTGGCTGGTTTCTGTCCTCTTGCATGTGAAAAGCACCTTGGTGGTTTATTCAGTGGCTGGCTGCCTGTCTCTCTCAGCCAAACCAGGCTGCTGCTTGGATGTTGTCTGTATTGCCTGAATGATGACTGGGAAATTGCGTTGTGTCCACATGAGCTGGCACCATCCTCCCCACCCCTCTTCTTCACAGGCAAGAGCCAAACTGTCTGCCTTTATGCAGAAGAATTACATCACCAGTGTCCCTCTCCAGACCCCATGGACCAGACCCACCTGGCTGCACCCCTGATCTGCTGCTCGGCTGCATCTAGCGTCTGTGTCTATGAGCAGGACAGTCTGCTGCACAGAAGTTTAGGGACATCTTATAACAGAGTCTCCCAGGCAAAGACAGAGTCCCAGTCAGAGCCTAGCTCTGCTTCCCTTCTCTTCACATGAGCTATATAGTCTTATTTCAAAAA